CATTTTGATTACTGGTCCTTTGTTATCTAGTTGTACGGCAGGAGGGCGCCCTGGGAAGATCCTGCTAAGTGGGTCATGGACACATACCCGTGGACCACTGTTCCCCAACAACATGAGTGGCCACCATTGCTGCAGCTGCGACCAGAAGATGTTGGATTTGACGGTTACTCTGTGCCAAGGGAGGGGACCTCCAGTAAGCAAGCTCCCTCTGGAGACGGTGAAGGAGATCCACTGGTAAGGAGACAATACACATCTTACTGAAATTCCATTCTGTGTCTCAAAGCTGATTCTAGAGTAGGCTTTCTCAACCAGGGTCCCCCCAGAGGTTGTTAGGGGTTTCTTGAGCAGAGACAGATTGATTTCCCACCTACAATGGGGCTATATCTGTACTGACTACCAATGAGAAAGAGGATCTTCTTCCATTGACCACCAATGAGAAAGGGACCCTTCTTCCAATGACCACCAATGAGAAACGGACCCTTCTTCCAATGACCACCAATGAGAAACGGACCCTTCTTCCAATGACCTCTAACGAAAAACAGACCCTTCTCCCACTGTCCACCGATGTAAAAGGGCCCTTCCTCCAATAATCACCTTCCAATGACCACCAATGTAAAGGGGCCTGTCTTCCAATGAGAAAGGGACCCTTCTTCCACTGACTAGCAGTGTAGAAGGGACCTTCTGCCAATGACCACCAATGAAAAGGGGCCCCTTCTTCCAATGACCACCATTGAAAAGGGGCCCTTCTTCCAATGACCACCATTGAAAAGGGGCCCTTCTTCCAATGACCACCAATGAAAAGGGGCCCCTTCTTCCACTGACCACCAATGAAAAGGGGCCCCTTCTTCCAATGACCATCATTGAAAAGGGGCCCTTCTTCCAATGACCACCAATGAAAAGGGGCCCCTTCTTCCAATGACCACCAATGAAAAGGGGCCCCTTCTTCCAATGACCACCATTGTAAAGGAGCCCTTTTTTCAATGATCATTAATGAGAAAGGGACTTTACTTCCACTGACCCCCCAATGTAAAGGGGCCCTTCTTCCAATGAGAAAGGACCCTTCTTCCACTGATCACCAATGTAAAGGGGCCCTTCTTCCAATGAGAAAGGGACCCTTCTTCCAATGACCACCAATGAGAAAGGGACCCTTCTCCCACTGGCCATCAATGCAAAGGGGCCCTTCTAATGAGACAGGGGACCTTCTTCTAATGACCACCAATGAAAAGGGGCACTTCTTTCAATGATCACCAATGAAAATACATCTTCTTACACTGACCTCCAATGTAAAGGGGTCCTTTTTCTGGTGATCACCAATGGGAAAAGGACCCTTCTTCAAATGACAACCAATGAAAAGTGGCTTTCTGCACTCACTGCTAGTGTAAGGGGGACACTACAGTTTTCACAGTCTGTCTTCTGGATGAAAAGGTTTGGAAAGGCTGTTGTAGAGACTGGATCGTTCTGGCTCAGTGACCAGGATTTTAGGCAGCCAGGTCGCTACCAGATTCAGAAGGACTTCAGCATGGACAGCCTACATGTATCTACCTCAGTATGAGTTTCTACTAGGGACCTTCAAATACTTCCATTTTCCCTACCTGGTTATCAGTGGCATGTTGGCTCTCTGATTCTTCTGGGTCTGACCTGTGGCGAGGGGCAGGATCTGTGTGAGGCCAATACATCGATTTTCTTCCCAAGCAATTGCAACACATTAACCTCACGGCCTCCAAGAAGTTCCACTTCTTCCCACAGCTCAGACCAGCAAGCAGCAATCACTCAAAGTACTGAAGTCATTACGTCAGCACTAGAGCCAAATATAATTTCATCAGAAGATGTAATCAATGGCCACCTACATAGTCTCTCAGTATTGGTTTTCTTTAATATGTCCTCATGGAGGGCAAAGGAAAGGGGCCACTTATCTCCCCAGGAGTACATACTAGCCTTTCCTCGCTCCAATAGCGAAGCGACATACACAACCCTTCCAGATATAGGTGGTCATGTGACTTAAGCAGCCCATAGATTATGTGATTTTCTTTCCTTCCTCCACAGGTGACAGCAAAGAAAATCGCTCAGCTACCCCATCAACATTGACTATGTTGATAGGGGAATACCTCCCGCAGTGTTTCTGTGTTCTGCCGTCGGGGAGCCTTTCTGGTCAGCAGAAGACAATGAATACTGCTACTGGCTATATCTGCCGGAAGTAATCACGTGTAAAAAAAAATCAGACAGGCTGGTTGTACCAAAGTCAATCAATGGATCAACTTGGGTGCAACCATCTTGCCCATAAATCAGGGGCGTCAAACTGGCGGACATCCAGCTGTTGTGAAACTACAAGTCCCATCATGCCTCTGCCTTTGGGAGTCATGCTTGCTACTGTCAATCTTGCAATGCCTCATGGGACTTGTAGTTTGGCAACAGCTGGAGGGCCGCCAGTTTGACACCCGTGCCATAGATGAATCAAATCTCGGCCGGTCCCTGCTGAACTGGCTGAGACTGGATTCATCAATGGCTGGCTTTACCCTGCTAGTCCCATGTGCTAGGGTGTGATTGGCCAAGCACTGTCACAGGGGGGAGGAGTCCATAGCCCTGTGTTAGCGGTTTGGAGCTTAGACACGACTTCCCTGTCTTGGTCTGGGCTGCAAAACCAGATGTCGGAATCGAGAAAAGGCGAGTATGTGTTGCTGGGGAGCGAGTTGAAGGACCCTTTTATTTTGAACTGGGCAAAGAATGGGTTCATTGAAGCTGATTGCCTAAGAGCTGCACCCCAAGTGCATGTCCCCCTTGAAGCTCCACCCCCAACTTTATGCAAATACTGACTTTGCAGGAAAGTGATGTTTAGACACAGTCGCATGTCCCATAGCAGGTGGAGAATAAGATTGGGAGCTCTTGGGACAGAATTCAATAGTATTTTTAGACAGAGCTATGTCCCTGACTTCAAACCATTTTAGATGGAATGTTAGAATAGACCCCAGTAAGGCCCCCCAGTAAGGCCCCCCAGTAAGGCCCCCCAGCAAGGTCCCCCAAGGTCCCCCAGCAAGGTCCCCCAGCAAGGTCCCCCAGCAAGGTCCCCCAGCAAGGTCCGCAAGTAAGGTCCCCCAGTAAGGTCTTCCAGAAAGGTCCCCCAGTAAGGTCCACCAGTATGGTCCCCCAGTATGGTCCACAAGTAAGGTTCCCCCGTAAGGTTCCCCCAGTATGGTGCCCCAGTATGGTGCCCCAGTAAGGTCCCCCAGTAAGGTCCCCCAGTAAGGTCCCCCAGTAAGGTCCACAAGTAAGTTCCCCCAGTAAGGTCTTCCAGTATGTTCCACAAGTAAGGTCCCCCTGTATGATCCCCCAGTATGGTCCACCAGTAAGGTCCCCCAATAAGGTTTGCCAGTAAGGTCCACCTGTATGGTCCCCCAGTATGGTCCCCCAGTAAGGTCCCCCCAGTATGGTCCACAAGTAAGGTCCCCTAGTAAGGTCCCTGAAAGGAACTGTTAGCTGCCCTCTGTAGCCTGACACAGCCCCCCGAGAAGCTCCATGATTAACCTGCTCCCTCTCGTCTCTTTCTTCCAGATGAACATGTTGATGAGGCTTCAGGAAGCCGCCAACTACTCCAGCCCGCAGAGCTACGACAGCGACTCCAACAGTAACAGTCACCAAGATGACATCCTGGACTCGTCGCTGGAGTCCGCCCTCTGACGCCACTCCGCTGCCTCAGCAGACAGCGGAACAAGAGACACTTTATAGACTTTTTTGTTTTTGTTTTTGGGCTGGGGGTGCGGGTCGCCCTTCCAATTACCGTTTTGGTTTTTTTTTTTTGACAACGTGTAAGAAATATGGCTGCACTACTTGTAAGCGGCGGTAACGCGCCGAAACACTGAAAAGGTTTTTAAGTTGTAGACAGAACGGGCCTCATGGTGCCGGGCTGGAGGGGAAGAGAGTTCACTGCCTATGCTGCTGTAAACCAAACACGAAAATGGCGTGCTGGACACTCCGCCTTCACACGATGACCTCACTGCAGATAGTCGCCGACTATGCTGCTTGCCTTGCTCTTGGCGTTAACCGGTGCTGGTTGGGGGGGATTTGGTGTCGGCATGCAGAACTTTGTACAGCTATGCAGGACATAATCCGTCCCTCTCCTGAACCCCAGGAGTGTAAGGGCTCCCACCCAATATGCTTGAGAAACTGAGACGATAATCGGTGAGCATCAGCGGTCATTTCTGTGAGACTTTCACACTTGCAATGAGACTTTAGAAGCCAAAAAAAAACCGAAGCCACCCCTAACCAACCACAACGGTGACGATGGTCATTGAGAACATATAAACCAAGCCGTGCCGTGGGTTGTGTAGCCAGTCCTGGTTGGTCCGTTAGCTCTCAAGTCGTTTTTAAATCAGACAACGGTCATTTATCCACAAACTCCATGAGATATCATTCTGCAGATGGCTGCCAAGGTCTTTGTACTTCTGTAAAGAGGACCTGTCTTGTCTTCAAATGTTCCCAAGAGCGTTTTTGGCCTTTAGTTCCTGGAAAAGCACAGTCCTGTTACGGAGAATGAAGACAGTGGGTGATCTATCCAACGTAGCTTCATGGTGACCTGCTATCCTCCCACCTAATCACCATCACATAAAGAGTCACAATGTGGAGCTTACACAGGGCTGAGGATTCTGTCCCCAACCCTTGTGATAGCAGTAGTTAATCGCAAGGGAAGAGGTCACCTGCTTATGCTCAACCTATCCATTACTTCCTTTCAGGCTGGTGGGGCAGGAGGGTCCTCATCTTCTGGGACCGTTGGCTACACCGATACTAAGGGCTCCAGAATAGCTCTTAAGTCGTTTTTAAATCAGACAACGGTCATTTATCCACAAACTCCATGAGATATAATTCTGCAGATGGCTGCCAAGGTCTTTGTCCCTCTGTAAAGAGGACCTGTCATGTCTGCAAATGAGGTGTTTACACAGTTCCCAAGAGCCTCAGATATGTTTTTGGCCTTCAGTTCCTGGACAAGCACAGTCCTGTTACTGAGAATGAAGGCAGTGGGTGATCTATCCAACGTAGCTTCATGGTGACCTGCTGTCCTCCCACCTAATCCCCGTCACATAAAGAGCCACAATGTGGAGCTTACACGGGGCTGAGGATTCTGTCCCCAACCCTTGTGATAGCAGTAGTCAATCGCAAGGGAAGAGGTCACCTGCTTATGCTCAATCCATTACTTCCTTTCAGCCTGGTGGGGCGGGAGGGTCCTCATCTTCGATACTGACCGATACTAAGGGATCCAGAATAATAGGGACGGGTGCTTTTTTCCCAAAGTCCCCATCAAACCCAGCAGATGGTAGGGAATACTTAGAGACTGTTGACGTGATGTACAGGAAGCTGACTTCATTGTCCCCATTTTTTTAAACATTTCTAGGGGCGTGGCCTGTTGGAAACATAAATACCTCCTTCCTATAGCAGCAACATAAACAACACATGTAATAGACATCAGCTGCCATGATCGCTCAGGTAATACCTCCCGCCCCTCGTGATGCGTACACGCCTTATCTAACTCTGCATCGAATCTTTTCTGTGCATTTCAGCCATGTCTTTCTATCCGCGAGTCACAAAATGAATTGTGCTGGGAAAAGAGCAAACGGTCACAGAAAACACCGATGGGATGCGTTTAGAAAAAGCTATAGCAGGGCTGGGCCAAGGGGTGGGCAGAAGTAGAGGCTGCTTTGGGCGCTTAACCTCGTCACGCCAGCGCCTCCGCCCTTCAAGGGGTTTCAGACGCCGGGGTTTTAGGGTCATGCAATTCGCTGTCATGGCGGTCACATGTTCGGAAAAGGTCCCGATCGTAAGGGGACCTTTCGGTGAGACACCGACATATGTGTCTTCAAATGGTACGCAAGTATGCGGCCGCTCAACGTCAAGGCCCAGCCACCGTGAGGCCGCATATTTGCGTACGGTCGGCATCAGGGGGTTAAGCAGGATGGGTGGGGACAAAAATGGTGGAACCTGCAACCCATTTTGCTGAAGGGGGGGGGCATATTTTGGCCTTTTTTCAATTTGGTGCTAAAGATCCTTGTCCTACCTAAGTAGGGCGGTAAAAGCCAAAATATATAAATGGAGAACCCCTTAACCTCTTGGCGCCGGCCGAACGCAAATGTGCGGCCTCCCGGCGTCAGGGCCTAGAAGCCGAGCGGCCGCACATTTGCATTCTATTAAGAAAAAACGCGCTGAAAGCGCTGCCAGCACACACGGAAAGGTCCCGATCAACTCTTTCGATCGGACCTTTCCCGATCATGTGACCGCCGTGACAGCGAATCACGGTGGTCACATGACCCTAAAACCCCACCCGCCTCCCGGCTTCTGGAACACTTAAAGGGGTTAAACTAACGCTGCATTTGGTGCTGATTGCTGAAGGCTTTATGCAGGCCATACATGGTTCGAATTCTGAACAATTTTTCGTCCAAAAATTGAAAACGTCGTTAGCTCGGTAATCTGATAGCGCCATCATTGATTTCACCTGTTCACCCCATATAACAGGTGAAACTTCTGTTCCTTCCGGGTCACGGCTCAAGCGCATATTCTTTTCGGAAAAACGATCGTACGATTTGACCATCATTGAGTGGAAAATCGATCGTTTTTTCACAAATTTTCCATCATGCCCGATCACCGAAAAGGGGAGGAACCACAAAAATTGGCCGGTGTCATTGACCCATTAACAGAGCCAAAATTGGCCGATAATTCTTGGGTCCGATTTTCGGACAAAAAAATCGGTCGAGTTTTGACCAATGTATGGCCGGTCTTACTTGAAATTAAGACATGGTGCAAATAATGTATTTTGGCTGCAGATAAAGGCACCCAAAATTTCACCGTCTCGTGCAATTAGTTTTGTTTGTGCCAGATCACCATCGGGAGTTTAGACGGCAGAAGCGCCCGGATCACATTGTGCATCGGTACCAGGGGCGGACTGACCATTCGAGCACTCGGGCACTGCTCGAGGGCCCGGGTCAGTAGGGGGCCGCATGAGCTGCCCCTGGTACCTTTTATATAAGCTTTTTTTGGGTGTGGTTTGATTGTGGGTGAGGACACAGGGGCCCCATGATCCCCTATTGCCCAGGGGCCCCATGAGTTGTCAGTCCACCCCTGATCGGTACCTTCATCAGGGCGGAGCAGCACAAATGACAGTCAATGACGGCTTGTCCATCTACTTCCAGAAGGGCAGAGCAAAGAGTACTCCTTTCTAGACCGTATAGACTTTCCAATAAAGAAGTCGTCTCATGAGCAATACAAATCGAACTTCTAGTCTATTGATTCATGTTTACCTATCTCTGCTCGTCAAAAGAATCACCTGTCAGCTCCTCCCCTGAAGAAAGCCCGATTTGTATAAATTACTATTGTGGAGTTCAGACAATCTGTGAGGTTCGACAAAAGACCTGTCAGCTCCTCCCCTGAAGAAAGCCCGATTTGTGTGAATTACTATTATGGAGCTCAGACAATCTCTGAAGTTCGACAAAAGACCTGTTAGCTCCTCCCCTGCAGAAAGCCCTGATTTGTGTGAATTCCTGTTGTGGAGCTCAGACAATCTCTGAGGTTCGACAAACTACCTGTCAGCTCCTCCCCTGCAGAAAGCCCGATTTATGTGAATTTTTATTGTGAAGCTCAGACAATCTCTGAGGTTTGACAAATGACCTGACAGCTCCTCCCCTGCAGAAAGCCCTGATTTGTGTGAATTCCTGTTGTGGAGCTCAGACAATCTCTGGGGTTCGACAAACGACCTGTCAGCTCCTCCCCTGCAGAAAGCCTGATTTGTGTGAATTCCTGTGGTGGAGCTCAGACAATCTCTGAGGTTCGACAAACGACCTGTCAGCTCCTCCCCTGCAGAAAGCCCTGATTTGTGTGAATTTTCTATTGTGGAGCTCAGACAATCTCTGAAGTTCGACAAAACAGCGGTCAGCTCCTTCCCTGCAGAAAGCCCGATTTCTGTGAATCTCTATTGTGGAGCTCAGACAATCTCTGAGGTTCAACAAAAGAGCTGTCAGTCCCTCGCCTGGAAAAAGCCTGATGTGTGTGAATTACTGTTGTGGAGCTCATACAATCTGTGCGGTTTGACAAAAGACCTGTCAGCTCCTCCCCTGCAGAAAGCCGATTTGTGTGAATTACTATTGTGGTGCTCAGACAAAGCTTTGTTGCTTCTGCCCTTTCAGATGTGACTGGGTGCACTAAAATTATCACTCATCTAGCAGACGATACAGAGATGCTCCCCACAGGACATGACTCTTCCCCTTGAGTAGCGATAGCACTGATCTGACTCGTACCTAGATCCATCAATCCTAGTTAGGTATTCATCTCCTACTGAGCAGTGTGGTCCAGCAGTGGTGGAGGAGGAGGGCATGCTGTTGACCATATTAGCTCACTAGCTCAGCATCCACAACACTGAATGAAATGATAAAAAGGTCTAAAGAGGACGAGGAGTATGGTGAGATTTCTTCCGTAGAAGTGTTCACCTTTACAGAAAAAATGTAAAAGTGGACTAACACCGCGAGCCCCCCATCCCCCCCCCCCCCCAACTTTGTTCATAGCTGTACTTGCCTCCAGGGATGCTGAGCTGTCAGTGCCCCTGCAGTCGATCCAGCAGTCCAGGGATTTAAAATCCCCTCTCTTCTCCGTTCACCACGTCCGGGACAGATCAGATAGATTATGATTGGTCGGCACCTGCA